GTGTGTGTGTGTGTGTGTGTGTGTGTGTGTGTGTGTGTGAGACGACGATGCTACTTAAAATTGTTTGTGGGGCTCATGAATAATTTACCAGTTAAAAGTCTGGACACATTATATTTTCACATTTCATGCAGTTACAAAAAATATACAGTGTACTATACTAAGTATATTTTGTATATTAAAAAATATATAAAAAGTATATATGTATGTGTATAGAGAGAGAGGTGTGTGTGTATGTATTTATATACTTTATATATTTTAGGACAATATAAATTAATAAATAAAAACATTTTTTATGAATTTTCTGAATATTTCTCACTCTGATTATTTTTTATTTGATATATGATTATTATTTCTGTACACAAACCTTTAAGTTTTTTAACTGAACAAACAAACAAATCATTAAATGGACAGGCAAATAAACAAATAAATAAATAAATCACTATTATTGTCGAGGAAAAACCATACACTTTATTTGCCACACTTTTATAAATATTGAATATTTCACACGTTTTTTTTATTTTTCAAAGTAAATTTTCTGTGCACGTTTAAAGGTTAAATAAATAAATAAATAAATGTTTCCACCATTATTGTCCAGGAAAAACCATACTTTCATAAACAATTAATATTTCTCAAGGTGGGTTTGATTATGAAAGTCAATTTCTGTACACAAACCTTCTGACTACAAAATAAATAAATAAATTCCACCCTTATAAAATGTTTAATATAACATTTATTTATTTACATTTATATGTGTATTTATATTTTTTAAATAAATTATAAATATTTCCACCATTATTGTCCAGGAAAAAACCGCTTGTCTTTTTATGACATTGGTTATTGGGTTTTCTGCAGAATTTAAACAGCAAAACATTCATTTCAAACACTATGTTTACTTGAAGACATATTTTGTGTCAGCATATTTTAGAGTTTCTGTGCATTACTATAACTGTTTTATTTAAAACGCATTGTATTATTGCTCAATTCATATTTAAACCGGTTATTATGTTAAAAGCAAAATGCTGGGGGAAGAAACAGCCTCTTTGAACACAATCTGTGAGCTCCATAAAATCCACTGCAGTTGCTTTCAGCACATAGGGAATTTCCTAGATTAGCAGAGCACAAGCAAAACCCTCTGCCACAGGAATATGACAAAAGCCCCCGTCTTTAGTTCCGTCCCAGTGGAGAGAGTCCAAATCTTCAAACAGACACTGGCATCTGACAGAGATACTGGGCGGCTTAACCGCTCTGAGCTAATTAAACTGTCATGATAAAACCAGAGGAGTAGTGGAAACCTCATTTTCAGTAACAGGGAAAAAATGCCCAAAAGAGTCCATGTTGTGATGCATGCATTATTAAACCACAAAAGAAAGAAAAAAATCTTATTTATTTAAAATCAACAAAGAGTCTTCTTTTTTTCATTTGCTGCGGGTTTTTATTTATTTAATTAATAAAACCTATATTGTTAAAGCAACTGTATGTAGTTTTGTGTATTTTTGCGACTTTGAAGCCCCCTACAGTTAAGTGAGTGGAATTCACTGCCGTAAATATACCTTTCGCTCCATTACAAGTCAGTGTCCCATTAGAATAATTTTGATATTTCAAGGTACAAAACATACAGTTGCTTTAAATATATTTCGAGTAAAATTTCTTAACTAGCATTCCATTCCAATTAAATGATGATTTAAAAAGAGATTAAAATTTGCATTTGTAATTAGTTCCAGTTCATTCATCACTTTGCAAATGTAAGATCGAGTCAAAAGCATTGCATTGTTGCTGTAGTGGACACTGTGAACTCGGCTGTTTTATTTAAAATGTTTTGCATAAAAGAATAAATGTAAATGTAAAACCGCAAATAGGTAGATAAGGAATGACAGATACAAAACAGTTCAGAGAGTGTGCAGCATCATTCTTGACTGCAAAAGCAAAACCCATTTACACACAATTTGATTTGAAAAGCGCATATGCTTCCCTGTTCAGAAGAGTGACTGTTCTCTGCAGCGCGTTTGAACCAAACAGAACAGCTACTAAATGCAAAAGCACAAGGGCATGAAATTTTTATGAAAGCTAATGTTGTGACTGTAGGGGCAGTGAATACTACAAGTGAGATAATTGCCTGCAGATCCCCTGAGTTCTGGGCTGCTTTCATGTGTTGCTATTGAAGCAGACAATAAATGTATACTGAACAAAATTATAAATGCAACACTTTGCTCACTAACACAGATTTAGACAGATTTGTGAACAATATTTGAGAGAAATAGGCCTTTTGTGTACATAGAAAAAGTCTTAGATCTTTGAGTTCAGCTCATGAAAAATGGGGGCAAAAACAAAAGTGTTGCGTTTATAATTTTGTTCAGTGTATATTTCCTGCATGACTGCTGCACACAGATGCCACTGTGTGTTTGTTTGAGCACATGGCTTGTTGTTTGTTGTTGGTGCCATGTGCTCTACTGTCTATTGTCTGACCCCGCCCTTCTTGTTATCGCATTATTGTTTCAGTTGCTCCACCTGTGTCTCCCTCGTTACCCTCCTTGACTGTCTCCCTATTTATTCTCCTGGTGTCTGCAGTCCTGTGCTGATCCGTTGTTTGTATGTACGTGTACTGTTGGTTCCTGTTTTGTCCTGCCTTGCCTTGCCTTGCCTTGCTGTGCTGTGCTGTGCTGTGCTGTGCTACGGCCTGCCCTGCCCTGGCCTGTCCTGTCCTGCCTGCCTATTTTCCCCCTCGGGGTAGTTTTTGTTGTTGTTTTGTTTTAATTATTATCATTAAAAGCCCATTTCTTCCTGCATTTGAGTCCTCGCCTCATACCCGCAAACCTGACACTCGTGCTGTGAAAGACATACCGTTGATTCAGTATGCACAAGACATATGGCCACTGACATAAGACTGCTGTATCAAAGATTCTTCAGACTCAAGCCAGACATTCCCTAAATCCTAAAACCTAACCTCCTTTACAACTGCAATCAATGATTCTTGAGAGATGGACTCTCTCTCTCTCTCTATACACTGTAAAAAGTAATGAGTTGAACTTACTTGGAAAACCTGTGGAAACTGATTGCCTCAGTATGCCAGCTATACAATAATCTATTCTGAAACTGCTGCTTTGACATTTGAAAAGTGTTAAAAAAAACAGCATTTTGGTTAAATACTGACATACAGTATATATTCTCTTTTGTGTGATTTCTAAAGACTGAACCATGATCAAGAGAGCACCCTCATAGGCCATGTCTTAAACGAGTGGTTTTCACGTCTCTATCACTCATATATTAGACTCTTTGTTTTTGTTCTCTTGCTTATCTGATTTCTTTATTTCTTTTAAACCTCCTTTTTGACTTTTATATTTCTTTCACTTACTTACCTTTATTCTTTTCTGTCCTTCCTTTCTGACTTCTTTCCTCTTTGTGTTGTTTCCTTTACTCTTCCTTAATCTAAATTGTCAGACTCCTTGTTACCTAATTTCTATTTTCTTTCTTCACATTATTTTTCTTACTCTTCTTTAAAAAGGGTTCACCCAAAAATGAAAATTCTGTCATTAATTACTC